GTCTTGGTCTTCCGCGCCTTGTCTTGTAGAAGGCCGTACTCCGGTGGAAGACCTTGCTGTCAGCGGCTTGTTCGCTGCTCTTGGTTGGCGTCGGTGTCTTCTTCGCGACGGGGGCTGGGTTCACGGCTTGACGGGGGCGTCCGGTACATGAACGAAGCAGCACCTCCACCAGATGTCACGGGGTCGTGACGTGGCCGAAGACAGAAAACTTCGTGTTGGGATTAAACTGTTTATTTGGGCGAACCTGTGCCCGGTAAAGGGAAAGTCTAATTACAGCAGCAGTCTTGCACAGATAGCAGTCTCGGACTGATAGCGGCGAACGCAGCGTCGGCCTTCGATCAACAACAACTGACAAACGGCGAAGCGCGTCGGCATTTATACTCTTGCCGTCGAATGTTCTAGCGTTATCGCTGGCGGTGGTGTAGGTTCCAGAACAATCTGTACCGTTCGCACAGTGGGTGTGATCTTATCGAAATGATCTACTACAGTCCGGAACCTTCTAGAAAACTGCAGGCGCGGTTCGCGCTGAGAATCGTGTGGTGTTTTGGGACGATAACAAAAACCTGGGAAATGGAACGTGGCAATAATAATAATAATAATTTTATTATTAATATTATTATTATTATTATTATTACTAGTATAAAACATTGAGAAAATAACACCAAAAAACATTCGCACGCGTATACGGCACCTATAGTAGAGTATTTTATAGCCCATGTACTGGCAGCTACACATATAAGTACACCCCTATTAAGGAGCAATACCTTACACTGCATGTAGGTAAAAAGTGCATTTATAAGGGCTCGTTTTTAGGGATAAAGCTCCCTATGCCGTGGGTCTTACGTAACAATACTGATTCTTGACCTAGTTGGCACTTCCTTACTGACTTGCTTTGGCCGCAAGTAACAAACACACAAGGTAAATGAACACTCATCTTAACGACAAGCATAAGTGGCACTTCTAACTAAAGTAGACAGGGTGCAAATCCAGACTTAAGTAACAACATACAGACATGCGTAGTCTTCACACAGCCTTACGCTCTCCAGCTATCAAATAATCTCTTCTCCGATACGCACAAAGTCAATGACGGTTCGCTGATACACCTTTCACCTTTCTTTTTATTGTAATAGGCTTCCTTCAACTCTCGCGTAGTTTTATGCCTACTTCTACCTAGAATCTTACACTCGTTGAAACGTGGTACAGACCCGCATGCTTTACAAATAATAGGCAAATACGCCAAGCCATCTTTCATGAAATTAATTCATGCTCCTTAATTCTTTCAATAATAAAGCGGCCGGTAGTCCCGATGTACGAGTTGCCACAAGAAAAGGGAATCTCATAAACAACGCCTTTGGCAGATTTCCCGTACATCGTGCCATGTTTCTTGCCGCATCTCTGACGACTCGTCTCCAGTCCCGAACAATTCTCGGGGACAGCTGAGCCAGTTTTACGGGCGCGGAAAAGGCGACAGGCAACCCATACTACCCTGCTAGAATTTCAGGTTGTGGGAGAACTAGTCAACGTAAGGAATCACTGCAGGTCTTACGGTTCCAGTTCCTTGTTCCCCCGTAGCAACTCTAGTACCTCCACTTTTTGCTTTCCACAAAAGCGCTTCAGAGACAGGCGTCAATAACGAGTCAGGAAACTTCGCAGCTTCAAGTCGCTTGATCTGGTTCTGTAATGATGCCTGCATCGTGTGTGTGCACGATTTTTCGAGAGTAGATCCCTGGCAGAACGTATAGCAATATCACGCTTGACTATTTTTGATTGGAAAGAGTCATACGGCCTTATTCCTTTCTTGGCGCGAGGAAAATATTGCCAGCCCGTTTGCCCCCTGTGGAAAGCTAAACGGATATCTAAAAATTGCAGGGTGTTGACTTGCGGCAGTTCTTGTGGGGAAACCTGTCTTTTCCGGGAATCCTAAAAATATTTAAAATATCATCACAGCACGTCAAGAAGCCTTGTCTATCAAAAAGAATTACAAAGTCAACCATATACCTAAAACCTTCACTTTCAAGGTTCTATCCAAATTAAAAGCTTCATCGAGGAACCGGTCAACACCAGATAAAAATATATTGCACAGCAGAGGCGCAATTCAGGATCCAATGCAAATGCCACGTTTCTGCAGAAAATCTACTTGTCGAAAGATATAAAAGTACTGGTTAGGTAGGCTTCTAACAGAGTTAAAAAATTATCTACTGTTACACCAGCCACATTTCGAAAATGTATGAAGCCACTTTCTTCTATGCAGGATCTCACCGCAGAGAAGAGATAATCATGTGGAATTGAGTAAAAGAAATCTTCTAAATCTACTGAGAAGGTATTGCTATGCTAGTGATCATTATCTCTCACTCTGGACTACCAAACGCTGTATTAATGAATGGGATAGGGAGCATGAATTAAATTTAATGAAAGATGACTTGGCACATTTGCCTATGCATTGTAAAGGCTGCAAATGTGTACCACGTTTTAACAAGTTTAACATTCTAGGTAGAAGTAGGCATAAATATTCGCGTGCCTGAGTTGATGGAAGCCTATTACATTAAAAAGAAAGGTGAAAGGTGTATCAGTGAACCGTCGGTGATGTACGTATCGGAGAAGAGATTGTTTGATAGCTGAATAGCGCAAGGCGCTGTGAAGACTGCGCATGTCTGTATGTTCTTACTTAAGTCTGGGTTTGCGCCCAGTCTACTTAAGTTCGAAGAGCCGCTCGTGCTCGTCTATAAGTGTTCCTTCACTTTGTGTGTGTGTTATTTGCGGCTAAAGCATGTCAGTAAGCATCTTACTTGCGCTATGTATGTATGTAGTAGCAGTAGTAGTGGTATTAGTAGCAGTATAGTAGTAGTAGTAGTAGTAGTTGTAGTAAATAGCCACCTCTACGGCCGGACATGAGGAGCGGCACGTGCGCACCCATTTCGATTGAAGAGGAAACCCGCGCACGTTAATCATAAAAAAAGATCGTTGTTTCTATGAAATACCTTACAGGGAGGAGTATTGGTGAATTATTCTCCCAAAAAATTTGCTTTGAACTTGATGATTTCTGAAAAACTGGCCCAAATCTACGTGTCACACTGTAAATGCCGTCGAAAGATAACAGTCTTGCGTCTGGAGAGAGTGAACGAAACGTTGAAAAATCGGTGAATGGTATTCTGAAGGCACTGCGTTAGAGTGCCTCGAGCGTGTAACGGAGCCGAACGAGCACATCTAGGCACGTTAGACACGAGCGCCATCTGGCAGTTATCTTCGAAAACGAAGGCGTGCGCGACCGCGGAAAAAGATGCTCTAGTCAAGGAGGTGATGAGGTGTAGAATGCAAAGCGACGGGCAGGTGCCACCACCATGCCGTCGTAGCAAGGCGTCGGAAACACCTTCTTGAGTATCGCGTTGCACTGTCAGCGCCGCGCGATCACTGCTACGGTCCTTAGAGTTACGTGTGTGTGGCTTTTCCAGTATAAAGGCAGACCGAAAAAACATAGACATATTGTTATAGCACCTCAGATGTGCGCAATAATTGCTTTTTCAATTGATAATCACACAACTATGAACCCTAAGCCTTGAACAATACTGGAGGGCGCTTCAGATGGGGTTGGCCGTTTGGTGCCGTTTGAATTATCGTTAGGGCTGACAAACAGACAAATGTAAAGACAGACAGACAGACAGACAGACAGACAGACAGACAGACCAAAATGTTTTTGTTGAAGGTCCCTAAGAAAGACTATCATCTTTAAAAAACCTATTATCAGAAAGACGTGCTTTAAGCACTATCTGACCAAAAGGGTTGCCACGCTAAACTGGCCTGGAAACCTGCTTGGTTTTAGGAAAGATTAGTAAGGGTTGGGCCATAGTACCATGAGCTAGAGGCGGTGAAAGGTGGAAAGTAGACATGAAGCGCAGTCCATTAGAAAGTGCGTTAGGACCACCTCTCGTTTAGTCTTTGTAAGGTTCGCTTGATCACGGTACCTCTTTGTGCTGCATATTAGATGAGCAGATGCAAATGGTGATACTTCAGGTGTTCACTAGATGGACGGACTGGCAGATGGACAGAAGCATGGACGGAGGGACGAACGCATGGATGGACAGACGCATGGACGGACGCACAAGCGAATTGACGGACGGATGGACAATAAAACGGACGGACGCTTCGCTCCAGTGTGTGATTTTTTTTGTCAGACATAACAATAATGACGTCGAACTCGACACAGAATTGATTAACACCACAGGTGTCAATAGGGTCTACTGGATTCCCATAATGTCGACACGAGGCAACACTTCACAGTCTCTAGCCGCAATTACAGTTTACGGAATCAGGGATGTGCCTGAAACAAGCTTCGAAAAGTGAAGACCACACGAGGTCATGCCACTTGGCGCTGCAATCGCTAGACTGCAATGTATCGTTATTTTGAAACTTGAATGGGGCTCCAATCAGAAAAATGATGCAGAGGTGAAGTGCCCGCTTACCATTCGAGAGACCCAGTATTTGTCTGTGACGAACCAGTATTTTGCCGCCGAGCTATGCAATGGTACTACTGTTTGGTTTACAAATAGTGTGTGAACATTTTATGCGTGATGCTATAAATAAAAATAACGAAAGGCTCGGGTTCCGATTGCGCGGTGGATGACGAGTTATCATTTTTTAGTGTGACTTGGCATACCTTTATGCGCTTTCTTGGTTTTTTATGATAGCTTCAGTCCGTACGTATCACTACAAAGTAACTTTAAATATGAAGTAAAAGCAAATACATTTGAGAGTGATAGTGACTATTTGCCATGCCAGTACACTGCATTCAACAAACCTTAAGTAAGGCTCCGAGATCTTTCCGATAGCGATTACTCTAGGAAGCCACGCTTTACGTTTCACGCCTATGCTATTGATGAATGCATAGTTTGCTCAGCCGGTCCGGGTGATAATTTTTTCCTAAATTATATTTGGGGCGTTTTCAATTATTTAGACAGCTCTAAAGCACGTGGTATATATTTAATTATTAGCAAAGCTCTGCGTACCCAATGCGACGGCAACAGCAACAAGAAGGTCCATTCCTAGAAGGTGCTTCATTTCAAACTTTTTTTTTATCTGCAAAAGCAATTTATGGCATTAAGAAATTAGCAAGACAGTTGATACATTTACGTTACTTGTTTACACATTGTTTTTGCTTTTCTGATGATTCGTGATACAATCATAGTGCTAAGAAATTGCTGCATTGCTGCGGGTACTTTCTCGATTTGTCACCTTTACACATTCCTGTCTAGTCATTTGTACAGTTACCGCTGTCGATGTGCAATTGTATACTTTAAAATACCAAAATGCGTGTGAAGGCTTTGATTGCTGACCATGGTTTTCCGACAGTTTTACTTTTTATGACCCGCATCGATTGTTTGTCGATGCGCTTCGAGCACGTAATTTTGTCAACGTGGTTCAATGCTTAACAAAGCAATTTAGGTGCTGCTCAGAATAAAAAAAGAAAACATCAGAAAAGGCAAATCTGGTTTTCGCCCGTTTAATCTCCTTGGATGAGTTGGACCCCCAATAATTTCGTAACCTGTGAAACGCTACAAGTGATGAACATATTCTTGTATATAAGGGTTCGAGGAAAATTCCTAATGGGTAGAAGATAACATATCTGGCAATATTTTTAAGGGATCCTCGTGGTACTCAATTATTTATTATATTTTACTATTCAGCCATCAAGGCCGACGAATTCACAGAGGGAAGTGAGTAGGAATATAGATCAACTGGTGGCAAAGAATAGTAAGATGGAAATGACCACATTTGTAATGCGTTATTACTGATACAACGTATTTATTACCTCATGAAAACAATAATTATCTTTGATTATTGCAATGTCAGAGGGAGGTCATTTTGATTACCCTCTGTTATAGTACATACATGAACATTTTTTTCCGGAATATAATGGCTGCCTAATGGTGGCAAGCAGCGTTATCTGACATCCTTCGTGGTGATAAAATAGGTGAGTCGGAAAAAATACTATGAGTATATTTTATGAAAATTTTCGAGTGGCAGAAATTTTGATGCGTCGTTGGCGATGCCAGGGTGGCTTGCTTGCCTTAGTCGCTGTTGTGCCTCGCAGCATGATTGTAGTTAGGACAAAGCAGGCGAAGTTTCTCTCAATAAGTTCAACAATTGTGATTACTTTTCCCTTAATCAACCCTACCCCCGTAGCCTGTTCAAGATGAAAAAATTTTTGGGAACTTACTAATCGAACTACCAAGAAAGAGGTGAAAAATATATCAGAATTCTCCAAGCACACTGTAATGCTTAAGGGGTGAAGCACCTCAAATAGCTGTGAATTTAGAGTGCACCTAGGTTTATTTCAAATTTATTGCAATACTCGAAGAGAACAATAAATCACTCGGCTATCTAAATTGAGCTACTGGAGGCGACCATTTAATCAGACAAAAATTTTTGCGATGAGGGTTATGGCAGTGTCAAAGACAACCTCAATATAACAAACATAATAGGCATTGTGGTTTCACGCTCCAAAACCAAAATCTCAATATGAGGTACGTAGTTGTGGAGGGCTCCGAAAATTTTGACCACCGTTTCCTGTGCGCCTAAATTGTCGATAACCTAAGTAATAAACCGTGCTTGCTGATGGCTGTATCAATGGTAGATGAGACTGTTATAAAGATAAAGCAAAGTATGAAAAGCAGGGCTTTGCATCACCAATACCTGTTCAAGTTTAAGGGACAGTAGTCCAGATCGGAAGTTTCCTTCGAGTGTACTCAAGACCGTGGTGTCTTGCCCCAATGTCGTTCCCAAATATAATTGCTTCACAGAACATACTGATCAGGTGCAATGAAGGCGCCTGGTGGATTACGACTGGTTGTAAAAACAGCGATTGTGAGCGATGTTCACGTCATAGCGTAGTCATAAGCGATGCGTGGTGCCCATTCAGGGCACAAAATTCAACGTCAGTGAACTTTCTTTGCGGAGAAAATTTCTCAAACCAACCTCACAGATAAAATTAACAAGCGAAAAGGAAGTGGCCGTCAAAAAACATTGACGCTTATTGAGAAAGTGCACTTTGTGTCAAATCAGCACACTTTGTCGCAACTAGACGTAGCAGCAAAAGGCGTAGAGGCGCTGAACACCACTGCATTGGTGTGGTGCCCACAAAGTGCCGCAAATGTGAGGTCGGCATGGGCATTCCGTGCTTCATATCAATTTTCACTAAATGTTGAACAAATTCATAATTCTTTTCGCGACGTGTCAAGTTGTGACAAAAAGTTTGTCACTTTTGCTGTAGCCTAGTGGTCTAGATTGACCACATGGTTATAGGCCATATCTTGTAAACTAAGTTTTCATTCACAACGTTATTGTCAGCATTATCTATCAGATGCAGATAATATAAAATACCACACCTGTTTTCATAACACGTATAAAAAAACTAGCCTTTAATGGGTTAACAATATGCAATATGAGCTGAGTGGTGTAATCACGTAAGAGGAAAGTTGTACGTTTAAGTACGCCTGGTTAATGACACATGTAACAGCCTGACATTCGTTTTTTTTTTCAAAAACTTTATATTGGGGCAATGTATTATTCACACAATTCATATTTGCAAAGATAATCATAGGAAGTCATTCACTCACCGCAGATTTTGTACCAGTTCTTCAGGGAGTATGTGTACATAGTGTAAAGCATGGGCCTTATGTAGTTCGAGCCAGTAAACTGAAATGAAATAGATCATTGGCTCTGGATACCGCGTCTAATCAAGGCTGAAATTGAAAACCTTCAAACCCCACTCATACAGCCCTAGAATTCATTAGCTTCAGAAAATTGCTTTGAACGCAGTAACGAAGAATATCATTCAAGGAATCGTAAAATATTTTTGTCCGAATACATCGCCCGTTCTGCTATATAATTAAAGAGCGCATAACTACCTCTCATGATACGTCTTACGTCAATCCTAATAATGAATGGGTTACAAAATAGTTGAATTTACCTTGGCTTAGACCCCGTAGAATAGGGCGTAGAAATAATTACTCGTACAAAAAATAAAGGTGATATAACCAAACCTTTAATTGCAGCAATCAATAAGGAACGTTTTGTCCGCATCTATTACCTGCTCCCTTAATCTGATGTAATAAATCTACGTCTACCTCAAATAGTACATCTCACATAAAAACTAATAATAAATATGTTTTGTTTTCTGAGCACAAGTTTTAGAGGTTATGGCTGTTAACAACATGGTTTCCGCAGACTTTGGTTACAGCAAGTTATGTTCAGTATTTCACCAACAGAAAAAGAAAACATGCTATTCTTGAAACTCGAACAAAGAGCTCCTTTTGCAAATGTACAGTCAACTATAAAATCTTGTGGCTCACGTAAAAGCGTGCCGAACCATCACCCCCTCTATTTTATCAATGCCAGCCATATGCGTCCGATCGTGCCTTTCCCCACCCTCTCCTCAAGTCCTTTCCTTCTCTCGGCCATCGCCTGGCCTTCGTGTGTGCTTTGCTGTAATAGGGCACGGCGCCCCCTCATGGAGTGCCTCACGACAAAAATCATACGAAGTAATTTTCCATTCAGTTGTATACAAATACTTTACTCGGTGTCTTGCATTCCTTGTGTTCACTATGTTGGCAACCACGTTGGCTTTGTGGTAATATGGTGTTTTGATAAAGCGTGTCGCCGTTCGTGGCGGTATGTGGGCAACTACTGGGGAAACGTGAATGCAACGCTACTACATGTGTGGCGCGGTGATGCAGCAGCCGCATTGCTTCCAGCCACAAAAAGAAGCACTACGAGAAAAATCTGACAGACTTACGGCATCGTTGTGGGAAACACATCTACGGCAGTTCTGGGTGAAAGCACTCGGAAGAACGTGTGACGCAAGCAGCTCGACCCCACATGCAGCGTCGCATCACGGCCATCGCCTGAACTATTGCGTATTGGCAGCTCGCGCTGATAAGCGCGCGTTTGCACTGGCATTGAAATAAATAAAGAGGGCTTTGGCCAAACTCATTGTTGGTGCACCTTACAGAGCACGATTTTACGTCAACTGCAGTAGTAGGCCGGAAATGGCTCTTCTCGTTCTTCACTGGCATCAAAATTTTCTGCTCCCATAAAGCACAACGTGCGTACACAGTTTTCACACGGAGGGCTTATGCGCAATCTGACCTTGAACTTTATATTTTTCATTCTCATGGGGTGCCTCCAACCGTGTTCAGTTGCTTTAGATCCATTTCTTACGAAGATTGCGACTGGCACGAGTTATACTCGCAGACTGCTTTTGAGGTGAAATCACTTAGGCGCAGCTGTTAAAAACGAGTCATGTTAAATAGTGAAAGGGGAATATTATTGTTCTCAGCACAGAAGGAGACAAGCCAGAGATACAGGAGGAAAGGGGGATGCTTCACGGGGGATGCGGTGCTGTCAATCACCACTGACGTAGCGTATGTGTCCTGAAAACTTTTCGGCCACGTGGTCTTGTTGTCTATGAACATTAGTTGTTGACTGTACAAATTGTCATTGTACACATATCATCATTATCATCAACAACATCAATCTCATCCTTCTCCTCCTCATCATCATCAGCAGCAGCAACAGCAGCCTGACTACGTCCACTGCAAGACAAAAGCGTCTCCCATGTTTTGCTAGTCAACTTGGTCATGGGCTTGTGCTGCCATTTTATACTGACAAACTTTTTAATCTGATCTGCCCGTCTCACTTTCTGTCTCCCTATAACCAGCCGCTTGTCTACTTTGAGAATCTAGTTAGTTACCTTTATATACCAGTGGTTATCCTGTCTACGCAAACGAGTGTGCCTCCAGTAGATCAGCAGGTTGTTTTCATGCATCTGATGACTATTCTCAAATAATAACATAAAGTGAAATACTGATGATTGCTGAAGCGCTGAAAAAAGCAACATAAATTGTTGCTTGGAAAGCGCGGGACTGTTGCCACTTGTGCGCTCTCATGTTTGGCATGGCTGATCGTGATGTCATCGGGAACCATACGTGCGCGAACACTTTAGGTGGTAACAAATAACTGGAAATTGTTCGGGCACGTTTTACATGGTATCATATAACAGTGACGGAAAGGTCATCA